TGAGCGGAGGCCACGCTCCGCCCTCCCATTTCCCCTCCCAGGTGGACGGCGTCCTCATTACTGTCAAGCGAGAGCCTCGGGGTTTGCGTTTTTCTGCTTTTTGGTGATTTTGCTGTTTGCAGTGGTCCCAGGCATCGTGCTGAGGCCCCTTCTCGTCTCCCTCGGGGCCTCGTGCAGGAACCGGTAGGTGAGAGAAGTTTCGCTCAGGCAGGTGTGAGAGAGCAGCTGCCCCGTTCAACACTTGTGTCATTGACAGGCATTCAGGAAGGCGCCTTTGGGCCGGGCGCATGGCTCACGCCTGTCATCCCAGTACTTTGGGAGGCTGAGGTGGGTGGATCATCTGAGGTCGGGAGTTCAAGACCAGCCTGGTCAACATGGCGAAACCCTGTCTCTACTGAAAATACAAAAATCAGCCGGGCACAGTGGCTCACACCTGTTATCCCAGCACTTTGGGAGGCTGAGGTGGGCGGATCACAAGGTCAAGAGATTGAGACCAGCCTGGCCAACATAGTGAAACCCCATCTCTACTAAAAATACAAAAATCAGCTGGGCGCAGTGGCTCACACCTGTCATCCCAGCACTTTGGGAGGCCAAGGCGGGCAGATCACCTGAGGTCGGGAGTTCGAGACCAGCCTGGCCAACATGGTGAAACCCCGTCTCTACTAAAAATACAAAATTAGCCAGGCGTGGTGGTGCATACCTGTAATCCCAGCTACTCCGGAGGCCAAGGCAGGAGAATCACTTGAGCCCAGGAGATTGACGCTGCAGCGAGCTGAGATTGCGCCATTGCACTCCAGCCTGGGCAGCAGAGTGAGACCCTGTCTCCAAAAAAAAAAATAGAAACACACACAGAACAAGGTCATGTATTGATCAGATGAAGCAAAGGAAAGTTTCCTGAAACTCAAAGGAAACTAACCCTGCAAAAATATTCTCTAGGAGCAATGATTCATATTCGCAAACTCAGTTTTTGTGGTGACTTCACAGAACAGAACTACCACAAATAATGAGAATCAAATCAACTGCATATATATCTATGTGTATATGTGTGTGTGTGTGTGTGTGTGTGTGTGTGTGTATATCTTCTTTGTGACTATGAAAGGAATATTACTGGCCAGGTGTGGTGGCTCACACTTGTAATCCCAGCACATTGGGAGGCCAAGGTGGGGGGATCACTTGAGGTCAGGAGTTTGAGACCAGCCTGACCAACAGGGTGAAACCCCGTCTCTACTAAAAATACAAAAAATAGCCAAGCGTGGTGGTTGGCTGCCTGTAATCCCAGCTACTTGGGAGACTGAGGCAGGATTGCTTGAGCTCAGAAGGCAGAGGTTGCAGTGAACTGAGATCGCGCCACCGCACTCCAGCCTGGGTGACAGAATGACACCTGTCTCAAAAAAATAAAAATAAAATAAAAAGGAAAGAAAGAGAGAAAGAAGAAAGAAAGAGAGAAAGAGAAAGAGAGAAAGAAAGAGAGAGAAAGGAAGGAAGAGAAAGTTACATAACTTCATTTTGCAGGATCTGAGAATCACATAAGGATAGGAAAATCATCCACAATCCCAGTGCTTTATCCTTTCCCCAGACTTCTACATACCCACTCTTATTTTTAAAAATTGAGGTTCTATACACGGTTTGATCATCTACCTTTAAAACCTTTTTTGCTGGCCAGGTGCAGTGGCACATACCTGTCATCCCAGCACTTTAGGAGGCCAAGGTGGGAGGATCGCTTGAGCCCAGGAATTTGAGACCGGCCTAGGCAACATGGCAAAACCCTGTCTCTACAAGAATAAAAATTAGCTGGGTGTGGTGGCATGCGCCTGTAGTCTCAGCTACTCAGGAGGCTGAGGAGGGAGGATCACTTGAGCCCAGGAGGTTGAGGCTGCAGTGAGCTGTGGTCATGCCATTGTACTCCAGCCTGGGTAACAGACCCTATCTCAGAAAAAAAAAGGACACAGTGCCCATCAGATCAGTGGCAAGGATAATGAAAATAATACAGTGTGCTGATGAAAAGCAATATTTCCAGCCACCTAAAAGTAACCCTGAAAGGCCGGGTGCAGTGGCTCATGCCTGTAATCCCAGCTCTTTCAGAGGCCAAGGTGGTCAGATCACAAGGTCAGGAGATCAAGACCATCCTGGCTAACACAGTGAAACCCCGTCTCTACTAAAAATACAAAAAATTACCCAGGCGTGGTGGCCCGTGCCTGTAGTCTCAACTACTTGGGAGGCTGAGGCAGGAGAATCGCTTGAATCCGGGAGGCAGAGGTTGCAGTGAGCTGAGATGGCTCTACTGCACTCCAGCCTGGGTGACAGAGCAAGACTCCATCTCAAAGAAAAAAAAAAGTGAGCCTGAGAGAGAAATGCACCGAGTCACCCATCAGAATGAGGAGCTGTGGTTCCCTGGTCAAGGGCCATGGCCTGGGACGGGGTCAAAGTCCTGTGGGTTCTGAGGCTGACCCGGGGCTGCAGGTGAGGTGGCCCCAGCATCCTCGGTCACTGTCCTGATTTTATGGATCAGGAGCTGAGGTCACACCGGGCTGGCCTGGGCACGTCACACTTACTCAGAGTTTGTGACGGGTCAGAAGTCTAATTTCCCGTCTTTCTCTATCACGGTCCTGGAACCGTGCTGCTGCTCCATTCGCTGACCCGGCCGGGTGGAGCCTCTGAGTCTTCTGTGAGTGCAGGCGCCTTTGGGCGGGAGGGAGGAAAATTCCTGCAGCCCCTCGTTTCTTGAGTTGGTGCGTGTTTACTAGCAGGACCTTGCTTTAGATACAGGTCTGGGTGGAGGCTCTTGCTCCTGCGTGCATGTGTGTGTGAACGTGTGTGTGCACGTGTGTGTGTCTGTGTGTGTGCACTTGTGTGTGTCTGTGTGTCCACGTGTCTGTGTGTGCATGCAAATGTGTATGCCTGTCTTGTGTGTACACGTGCGTGTCTGTGTGCATGTGTCTGTGTGTGTGTGTCTGTGCATGTGTGCATGTGTACAGTGCACGTGTGTGTACGTGCATGTGTGCGTGTGTGTGAGCGTGCGTGTGTGCATGTCTGTGTGTGAGTGTATGATGTGTTTGCGTGTGTGTGCATGCAAATGTGTGTGCATGTGTCTTGTGTACACGTGCGTGTCTGTGTGTGTGTGAGTGTGCGTGTATGCATGTGTGTGCGTGTGTCTGTGTGTGTGCATGTGTGTGAGTATGCGTGTGTGTGCGTGCATGTGTGCGTGTGTGTGTGTGTAGAGGTGGGAGGGGAGGCAGTCCCCTGGATGTCTGTAGGTCACTAAGAGGTCAGGGATCTCACATGGTGTGATTCTGCCCCCCAGGGGACCCTGGGCTGTGTCTGGGGACATTTGTGGCCAACACATCTGTGGGTGCTCCTGGCATGGAGCAGGTGGAGGCCAGGGGCGCTGCTCAGCACCCCACAGAGCCCAGGATGGTCCCACCCCAGAGAACAATCCGGCGCTGGTGTCCGTAATGCTGGGTGTGGGGAGAGACCCTGGCTTAGGAGAAGGTGACCCCAGCCACCGCCTTCCTGCAGCTGAGACCCGGGAGCCTCCGGAAAAGGCAGGATTCGGCCTCCCCGGCTGGGCTGAAGGTGGGGAGGCTTCCCGCCGACCTCAGCTTCCTTGGCCTGGGATGCAGCCCCGGGGCGCAGGGCTGCTGAGAAAGTGTCGTATGTGCGTCGCCCGACTCCAGCCCAGGACAGCAGCCGTGTGGCTCTTCTTTGTGTCGGTGGAAAAAAACCCATTGGTGGGTGGAAACAGCAAATGTTTCTGAAGGAAGAGGGGCTGGGCCTGCTTCAGAGACCACAGGGGCCCTTCAGGGCAGGCGGGAAAGAGCCTCGGCCACGTCAACCCGGCCCAGCCCGGCCTCGGGCAGCTCAGGAGGTTGGGCCTGGGTTGGGCCCAGTGCAGGGGGCGTCTGCTGACCTCGCCGGGCAAGGCCACTGCAGGGTGAGCCTCGCTACGCAGGACGGAGCCTCCCCTAGCGCTGACAGTGCTGCAGCTCCTGGCTTCTCCAAGTGGGACCGGCGACTCAGCAGCAGAGCAGTGGTGGCCTAACCGGGAGACACAGAACCGGGCATCTGGGCTCACTGTGCACAAATCCCGGCCCCATGACCTCGGCTGGTGTAGACGCTCAGCAAGGCAGGGGCCTCTGCCTGCCTCGGGCCTCCTTGTCCACAAAATAGGAGGCTGCCGCGAAGCTGAAGGAGGCAGATGGCTGCCTGCCTCTCCCTCCAGGCCTTAGTGGGAGTCAGGAAAGACCACGAAAGGTGGTCCCCGTCGCCCTGTCACGATCCGTGCACTCTGCATCAGAGACGGATGCAGGACCCGGCTGTATCCAGGGTCCGGCTTGGAGCAGAGGATTCTGTTCCATGAAAAACCGCAGCTCCAAAGGCCCTAGTCCTCCCCCCTCCCGCCCAACCCCGGAGACCAATCACGGGGGCATGGAGCCGTCCTTCCCTTCCTATTGACCTCCTGGCCCTGGGCGGCTCACATGAGACCCCCGGCCTTCCTGCCCCCTGTATACCTGTCACTTCCTCCATTCGGGGTTAATTGGTTTGTCCCCAGTTTCCACTTTCCACCTCTCCCTTTGCCCGGCACGTGGCTTACATCAAAGTAGAAATCAGAGATGGAAAAACACCAAAGTATGCCATGGGAAGGCTCCGTGCCTGGATATTTTGTTTTTCTTGCACTGGTGTGTCTGATGGACTGGACTTTGAGTGTGGGGTTGGAGCTCCCTTGTTCTGAAATGGAATAACACAAGTTTCTAGAAAGATAATCTGCCCTGTTGTCCTGCAAGAGAAACCTACAGGTCTTTTCCGTGTGGATCGGTGGTAAACAATAAAACTGATTCTGCCCCCGTTTTCTCCGGAGGGCACGGCCGTTTCGAATCCCCATGCCTCATTTTTGGGGACAGCAATGTCGTTCTCCGATAAAAGCTGGAGGTAGCTCTGTGAGTTCCTTGTAAGTGAAAAATATGTAACCATGCTTTTCTCTTTCTCTATCCTTTTTTAAACAGGGTTTACAGCAAGCCGTGATTCCTGAGGAAACTAAAAAAGGTATGTGGCATTTTCTCTTACTTCATGAGCTTGGAATCTCTTGTTTTTTAGAAAAAGGAACAAACAAGCTCTAGTCTTTTATGTGTGCCTGACACACTGGGAGGTTGAGTCATCCCATAAAAGGGCTCTGGGCTCAGAGCCAGGAAACCTGAGTTCAAATCCCAGATCCCCTTTTACCAGCTCTGCCCCGTTTGGGTGGGTTCCGGTCAACTGTCTGCGGAGGAGATGACGTTCTCCGTTTTGCAGGAAGGTTGCAAAGATTAAACAAGGATATAGATACAAAAATATAAAAATGGCCGGGGGCAGTGGCTCACGCCTGTAATCCCAGCACTTTGGGAGGCCAAGGCAGGCGGGTCACCTGAGGTTGGGCGTTAGAGACCAGCCTGGCCAACATGGCGAAACCCTGTCTTTACCAAAAATACAAAAATTAGGTGGGCATGGTGGCGGGTGCCTGTAATCCCAGCTACTCTGGAGGCTGAGGCAGGAAAATCGCTTGAACCCAGCAGATGGAGGTTGCAGTGAGCCGAGATCACGCCGCTGTACACTAGCTTGGGCAATAGAGCGAGACTGTCTCAAAAAATATATATATATAACATATATATTTTATAACAGTATATATATAACATTTTATAACATTTATTAAATATATATTATATATAACACTTATTTTATAACATATATAACATATTTTATAACATTTATAAAATATATATTATATATAACATATATTTTATATACACATGCACATATATATATGTATACACAGTGGCGTGCACCCGTAGTCCCAGCTACTCAGGAGGCTGAGGCAAGAGGATTGCTTGAACCCAGGAGTTCGAGGTTGCAGTGAGCTATGATCACAACACTGCACTCCAGCCTAGGTGATAGAGCGAGACCTGGTCTCTTAAAAAATATATATATACACGTACATACGTATATACACACACAAGTGTGTATATATACATGTATATACGTATATATACATACCCAGTGTGGTGGCACATGCCTATAATCCTAGGATTTCGGGAGGCTGAGGCAGAAGGATCACTTGAGCCCAGGAGGTGGAGGCTGCTGTGAGCTGTCATTGTGATTGCACCCTTGGACTCCACACTGGGCAACAGAGTGAGACCAGGTCTCTAAAATAAAGAAAAGAAAAATATATACATACACACATATATAATATGTATATGTAACATATATACTATATATATTATATATGCATATTTTATATATATATACTCAACACCATGCTGGCATCTAAGCCAGTATCTAAGAGATGTGAGTGGAACCTGAAACCACAGCTGATCTGTTTCATTCGTGTTTTTCTAGGAATTTGTCCGTTTCACGTAGATGACCTAATTGGGTGTCACACACTGGTTGATAATACTACGGTATTCTCTGATAATGCTTTTTATTTCCATAAAGTTGGTAGTCATGTGTCCCCCTTTCGTTTCGTTTCTGCGCGTAGTTATTTGCATCTTATTTCCTTTTTTTTTTTTTTTTTTTTTTTTTGGTTTTGCTTTTGGTCAGCCTCGCTAGAGGTTTGTCAATCTTGTAGCTCTTTTCAAAGAAGCAACTTTTGGTTTCGTCGACTCACCAGTTTTTCTCATCTCTGTCTTGTTTATCGCTGCTCTGATCTTTACAATTTCCTTCCTCCTGCTGGCTTGGGGCTGCCTTTGTTCTTCCATTTCTGGTTCCTTAAGGCAGCAGTGCTCAACCTTTTTGGCACCAGGGAGTGGATTCGTGGAAGACAGTTTCTCCACGGACGGTGGGGGAGCCGGGGGGAGGGTTTGGGGGCGATTCAAACGCGTTACTTTTATTGTGCACTTTATTTCTGTTATTATTATATTGTAATATATAATAAAATAATTCCACAACTCACCATAATGTGGGATCAGTGGGAGCCTGGAGCTTGTTTCCTACAACTAGATGGTCCCTGGGCTGGGTGTGGTGGCTCACACCTGTCATCTCAGCACTTTGGGAGTCTGAGGCGGGCGGATCACTCAAGGTCAGGAGTTCGAGACAAGCCTGGCCAACAATATGAAACCCCGTCTCTACTAAAAATACAAAAATTAGCCAGGCGTTGTGGTGGACACCTGGAGTCCCAGCTACTTGGGAGGCTGAGGCAGGAGAATTGCTTGAATCCGGGAGGCGGAGGTTGCAGTGAGCCGAGATCGTGCCATTGCACTCCAGCCTGGGCAACAGAGCGAGACTCTGTCTCAATAACTAACAAACAAAAACTAGATGGTCCCATCTAGAGGTGATGGGAGTCAGTGACAGATCGTCAGGCATTAGATTATTTCTGTTTGTTTATTTTGAGACAGAGTCTGTCTCTGTTGCCCACTTTGGAGTGCAGCGGCGTGATCTTAGCTCACTGCAACCTCCGCCTCCCGGGTTCAAGCGATTTCCGGCTAATTTTTTGTATTTTTTAGTAGAGACGGGGTTTCATCGTGTTGGCCAGTCGAGACCATTAGGCATTAGATTCTCATAAGGAGCGCGCAGCCGAGATCCCTCCCATGCACAGTTCACAGTAGGGCTCGTGCTTCTGTGAGAATATGATGCTGCCGCTGATGTGACGGGAGGCGGAGCTCAGGCCGGAATGCAAGCGACGGGGAGCAGCTGTGAATACAGAAGCAGCAGCAGGTGCCGTGGCTCACACCTGTAATCCCAGCCCTTTGGGGGGTCAAGATGGGAGAATCGCCTGAGGTCAGGAGTTCGAGACCAGACTGGCCAACATGGCAAAACCCCGTCTCTACTAAAAATTTAAAAAATTAGCCAGGCGTGGTGGCACATGCCTGTAATCCCAGCTACTCGGGAGACTGAGGCAGGAGACTCACTTGAACCCGGGAGGCAGAGGTTGCAGTGACCCGAGATTGTGCCATTGCACTCCAGCCTGGGGGGCCAGAGCGAGACTCTGTCTCAAAAATATATATATATATAATTTAAATATATGTTATTTATAAATATATATATTTGTTTATATGTATTTATATATGTTTTTACATTAGATAAATATATATTTGTAAATATATTTTTATATAAATAATAAAAGATGGCATGAAAATATGATTTACCAGCATGGCAGAGCTTGTTGGCATTGCCTAGATTTTGCCCCCAAGGTGAGTGCCTCATGGCCTCACCCTAGTCTCGGCCCCCACACACCTGACACTCAGGATGACGACGAAGACAGTGATGATTTAAAACGTGGCCGATGGTCAAGGGGTCGCACATGCCCGTGGTGTCTGGTCTGGATCCTTTTATGTCCCTCTCCATGAATATATTCTCCATGGAGAAGTCCCTGCCCTCCCTCCTGTTTTCTGACTGGGAGACCAGACCTAGGAGGTCAGACGGCCAGTGTGAGGTCCCTGGAGCCTGTCCTGAGCCCGGTCCTCTGGGACACGCACGTGCTGGCCAATGGCAGCGCGGCTGGATAGCAGGTGGCACGGAGCTGCCTGGGCAGGGCTCAGGTGTCTCCAGGCTGCAGGCTCAAGCCGCCAGCCACGTGGCCACGTGCCGTGGGGATTAGGTCCCTGTGCTGCAGCATCTGCTTGGAGGGATGACAAGAAGCTCCAGCAATGACATCAGGCAGCTCTCGTCGGGCCCTGGCTAAGTCCCCTGGCCCTGTTCCCAGCAGCCCAGCCATCCCCACCACTGACGCCTCCCCAGTCCTCAGCTCCCCTACTCAGTGACTCAGCAGACACCTCTCCCGTGCCCCCTGCAGGCCAGGTCCACTGCTGCAATTCCTTCAGTTCTCCTAGGATCCCTGGGGAGCAGGGCTCATTGTCCCCATTTTATAGGTGGGGAAACTGAGGCTCGGCAACCAAAAGATGCAGCAATGCCCAGGGGCTGGTCAGAGACAGAGCGGGATTGGAGTCATAAGACTCTGGCCACTGAGTAGCTGGTGGTCCCTCAGGCTGTGTGGGCCACCTGCTCATTGGCACAGGCCCCTCAGAACCCAGCAGGGCCATGGTCATTCTCCCTGGGGGATAGTCACAGAAGCTGGGACTGGGTGAGGAGGTGAGCAGAGGTGGTCGGGCACGGTGGCTCCTGCCTATAATCCCAGCACTTTGAGAGGCTGAGGTGGGCAGAGATCACTTGAGGTCAGGAGTTCAAGGCCAGCCTGGACAACATAGTGAAACCGTGACTCTACCAAAAAATAAAAAAATTAGCCAGGTGTGGTGGCGATCGCCTGTAATCTCGGCTACTCGGGAGGCTGAGACAGGAGAGTCAGTTGAACCCAGGAGGCAGAGCTTGCAGTGAGCTGAGATCATGCCACAGCACTCCAGCCTGGGCAACAGAGCAAGACTCCATCTCAAAAAAAGCCAGCAAGGAGGGTCGCCACGGGGGCTGGATGAGACGGTGCCTCCCAGCAGCTCCTTCTCCTGCGTTCTACCCACTTCCTGTGAGCCGGTCTCAACCCAAACCCTCTTTCCCCATCCCGCAGGGATTCTGAGAGTCAGGGCACCCCAGCCCCAAGGCAGCCACATTTCCCCTTTCCACTGAGAGCGGCGAGAGGTCTCAGCACTTCCTGGGGCAGCCCAGGACTTGGGCTGTGTTTCTTCATCAGCAAGAAAAGGCGTAATGGAATTTGGATAGACAAGAAAAGGGGATGTAAGCGTGAGCAAAACCACACACTCCATCTCATTGTTAGAAATTCCATGCGTGTCATCAAAACCTCATCTTGGGACAGAGGCCAAGACGAACTCACTGTCACAAGGCACTTTGTGCACAGCAAGGGTGCCGGTGTCCCTGTCACCCCCACCCTCACCCCGGGTCTGCTGGCTTACCCTGGATACAGCAGCCTTGTGGTTCCTCCCTCCTGGTCAGCTGGTGCCTGGTAGCTGCAGCCGTGGTAGCTGCAGTGGTTCCTCTCCGGAAGGTTCTGGAGGAGAGACTGAAATTCCCATGCTTAGGCTCACCATGCTCTGTGCGAACCTCCAGATGAAAACGCAGCCCCGGCCGGGTGTGGTGGCTCAAGCCTGTCATCCCAGCACTTTGGGAGG